CCGTCCATTCCTTAATCAATTGAGTTCAAAAGTTAGCTTTAAGTCCTCTAATGGAAAGGAGTACCAAACCAAGTGTTGTTTTGGGCATGAGAGAAGTGTCATGCCATTGGTAATGAACCCCCAAAGGGATTAAACCATTAAGCACAACAACCTCAATCTCAAGCTTAAACATGCAACTAGTTTGAAATAACTTTCAAAGTAAAGAAAAAGCCAAGAAATGAGGGAGGTCACAGAGGTGATTAGGGATGGATACAAGTATGGAAAGCTTGAAATAAACACTATCAACTCAAATAGGGTAGTGGTTAAGGCTTAAACTACCAAGCCTATGAGGACCATTACACTACAAGCATGCTATACAAAACTCAAATGCAATGAACAACTAAAAATAGTGTTAAAATAGTCCAAAAAAGTGTTGGAATTAAGCTAACAATAGCTAAAACAATAAGCTACAACATAGAGCAAGTTAAGCTAGTAAACAAGCACAAGGAGAGGAGGCCACCCTTTCCATTTTGGGACCTCAAAACAACATTTTCAGCCTCTGAAAAACTCTGAAATTCAGTGGTAAAAATCTTTAAAAAAAGTTGAGAAAAGAATGAGAAACACAAGGGCAAAAGCTTAGTGAAGAAGGTTCAAAGAATGGTGGTTAACCCCTCCACCTTTGGTAGCTTTAAACCACAAGTTTCAGTCCCTAAAAACAGTGTAAAAACAGTCTAAAAATAGTAAGAAAAGATGAGAAAAAAATAGTGTAGAGAAGGCCAAGGTTATACCTCTTGAAGAGGAATAACACTTTGTTTCACAAACCACAAGTCTTTCACTCTCAAAGGTTGAAATTTGGACTCAAGAATCTCAGCAAGAAGAGCTCAAATATTGGTTTAGGAAGTGTTTGGGTAAGGTATGTGTGTTGCAAGATAGAGATAGAGAGAGAATTTCAAGTTTTGGGATTTTTGGAATTTTTTGTAACCTAAAAGCTTGAAGGTTGACCTTGTATATATAGAAAAACATGCCTCTTAGTTGAAAATATCTATATACAAACAGCTGGAGCTTTTAGGGGACAACTGGCAACAAATATGTGGGCTTTACACAAGTAACCGGCAGGCCAGAATTAGTGGCCCGAAGTCTACTTTTCAATGGTTGTGGCCTAACATCTAAATTCGAAGTTTGCAAAGAGATATGCTTATTTTAGTGAAGGTTGCTTGTTTATATCTTAATCGGATGGATGCCTAACTTCAAACAGCCATATCTTCCTCATCCAGACTCGGCTTTAGGAGATTCTTGAGTCTAAATTGAAGCCCCAAAAGTCCAATTTCCAATGGTGGTTTCCTCACTTCTAAAGCCTAAGTGTGCGAAGAGATAGGCCCGATTTAGTGAAGGCTGCTCAGTTCTCTCTTAATGGTTTCATGCTCAACCATTTCCCCAACTAGTTTTCTTCCATTCCCTCCTATTTTTTTCAACTCCAAACCTATAAATAAGAGGTTTTAAATATTTTTCAAAGAGTTCACCTCCCTTTCATTTATTTCCACTTTGTCCTTACTCAATTTACTGAAAAGCGCAATATTTTAAACTAAATGTGAGTCTCGGAACATCGTAGAAACATTTAAAAAAATATTTTAAAAAAGAGGGTTTTAAGGTCTAAAATAGTTTTGGTCAAAAATGGGGTGTGAGATTGGGATTTAGAAGCTCTTCTTGCTGAAAAAATCAAACTTTTGTACATCATAACTTTAATCATCGAGTGATCAAGCTGAGGCGCCCAGGTCTTAACGGCTGTCAAAAATGGGGTGTCTACACTTATTAATACAATTTTTTATTTTTTTTATTTTTATGTTTGAAACAATATTTTGGTGGATGATTGATGTTTTGTGAAGTTTGTTTGTAATATTTTTTGGATTGTACAAAACATGTCAAATAGAACCTGCTAAATTAAAAAAAAAATAAAAAAAATACAACATATTCTACGACAGGCATAATAGGTCATTGTATTACATATTTGATGACAAGCAATAAAAGTTATGAATTGTGCTAGGAATTAACGGCATGCAAAAGTAGTTATAAAAAAATCATACACAATGCATAAGATCCCCTATCAAAAGGTTTTTAACGACATGCAAAAGTAGTTGTAGAAAAATCAAACACGATTCACAAGATCCGCTGTTAAGGGGTTTTCAATGGCATGCTATGACATGTCATTGAAGTGAATGACTTTCCATGACTGGTCATAACATGGCTTTACCTTGCGCGTCGTACAATTGTATTCGTGGAATGTATTTGGTGCCATAAAAACCTAGATTTGTTGTAGTGTGTTGCACAAAACAATTCAACAATAAAGTACAAAATGCTTAATTCCATTTACCCATCCAGTAAACAACAAAGGCCTTTCATCATGGTAGCAAAACATTGGGACAAAATCCATTTGATCACGAACAAAGTTGGATCCAGTAGTAATATCCGATGTTGTAACTCTATCAACAACAAGCCCAAGATTTTCATTTGAATTACTCATTTCAAGAACAGTCCTGAAACAAAAATGTCACAAAACAGTAAAATGTTACTGTTACAAAGAGTAAAATATTACTTACTACCAGAATAATACTTTATTGTTTTCTTGAAAATGTCTTTAAAAAAAAATAGAGTACATGCAATCAACATAGAACGAAAACCAACCAAAAAACAAAAAATAACTTTTAATTTTTAGGAAGCTCTATAAGTAACAATCAACAAATTCTAAAAAATACAAATTAATATAACAACGCAATCAACAAACTTTGAGAAACATAATTAACAATCGACAAATTAATCGAAAAATTACTCGCTACAAATTCAACATACTTGAAACTCAGATAGTGCTGGAATGAATCTCTAAAACTCAATCAATACTATCAAACTTGATCAACACTCGCAAAAACAAAACCTATGGATGGCCCTTTTCTTGCGAAGAAATATGAATCGTGAATCGCACTCCATGTAAAAAGGGAAAATATTAGTATGTCCTTCATAATGGCCACGCTCGTTGCTCAGGGGATTTAGGAAGTAAAATATTTTGGGATGTCCTTTATACTAAAAAAGGGCCTAATAAGGGTGTTTTCACCAAAAATCCTGAAGAAAAAAAAGATGCAATGTGTACACATTTTTTCAATTTTTTTTTTCAAATATAGGGAATTTTATATGTACACATGAAATTTATTGTATAGATATACGTAAATGAAAAAAGAAATCCATCCAATAACATCGGGCTGGGCATGGTCCGGATTGGTTTGGTTTGGGAGGACCAATCCGTTGTCTACGGTTGATAAAAAATGGGAACAAACCAATCCATTTAAATTTTGAAACAAATCTGAATCAAAGCATTTAAAACACGATTTGGTTTGGTTTGGAATCATGGTTTCACATAATATGTTCATAAGAAAAATCATATAACATTCACCAAACAAACTAGTATTAAGCAAACATTGTTCAATATTAATCTACTCATGATTTTTCGAAGCATAAATACATTGTTCTTCAATTAACTTAAACAAACATAATATTTAGCAAATAAATATATTGTTCAACATGTAATAAGCATGAAATTCTCATCAATTAATTATTGTCATGGCAACAATAATTAAAAAACTAAAATTATGCTAAATAATTAAAAAATCAGTTCTAGCGGCATAAAAAAGAGAAGAGAAAACTAAAACGATATGAATTTCGGTTTGATTTTATATATAAGAGGGTGGGATTGTATGCACCAAGGTATATGGTAGATATATATATATATATATATATCTACATATGGCCAGGTTTGTTTTCAATTTGGAACTGTAGAATTAAATCCACAACCGATCCACGGAGATCGGTTTCCCAATTTTTCATACCAGAACCAAACCACGAATTAGAAAAACCAAACAAAATTTATTGAATTGGACTGGATCGATTTTGGTTTGTGAATTTTTTGAATTTCTTACTCAATCCTACAGTAACATATAACTACTTTTTATGTCTTTATTGTTTATTGGCAATATGAGGCCTTTTTCATTTCTTTTGTACTAATGTGCCTTTTTTTTTTTTTTTAGTTTGAAAAAGGGGATATTGACCAATAAGTCCCATATTTCGAATTTGTGATCCATATAGTCCTATATTTTTTCTTGTGATCCATTTAGTCATTTTGGATGTGTAATGATTCATTTGCTCGCTACAATTAAGTGTCACATTAGGACAAAGTATACTAAAGAATTTTTTAGTGTCAAATTATAATTGGTACATTGGAGTGTCACATTTGGAAAAAGTATATTAATGAGTGTTTAATTTTCTTTTGGAGTGTTACATCATGTCTGCCACGTTGTGACATTTGAAAAAAGCACACTACGGAGTTTTTAGTTTTTTTTCGAGTATCACATGTAGTTTTTTTAGAGTGTTACATCCACTACAAGAAATGTCACTTTTGGCTACCAAAATATTGGTCGCCAAAAGTCAAATATTTAGTCGCTGAAACGATTTAGCGACTAAAATATTTTTTCGCCAAGCTCGTCGCCTTTACCCTGTCGGCGTTAGTATTGGCGACTAAACTTTGTTTGGTCGCCGAAAGTTACTACATTTGGCTACTAAATTTAGTTTAGTCGGCAAATGTTATGTTTCCGCCACTAAAATCTTTAGTCGCCGAATGAGGCTTTTTGGCTACCAAGTTATTGTGGTCGGGGAAGGTGTCACCTTTAGCTACTAAATAATTAGTCGCCGAAAGTACATATTTGGCTACGAAACTGTATTTAGTCGGCAAAAGGTGCATTCGGCGATTAAATTGTTAGTTACTAAAAGTGCATTGGGTTATGTTTTTGCTACTAAATTCTTAGTCACCAAAACATTTGATTACGTATTTAGCTACCAAAATATTTGGTGGCCAAATACTTTAACGTGTTTTTTTTTTTAATTTTTTTCTGAACAACATGTATCCATTATTAATACAACCTGTACCTTGTATAAACAATATAATCGATCAACGCTAAATATGTTATCAAGCATTAAACACATTTTAGTTCCAACCATCCAAAAATATTAATATTGAACGTCCAATTATATATATATTACAAATTCCATAAGAACCAAGTCTAATCCAACGTCAATAATTTAATTTCATACATAATACAGGAATAACCAACTACATCCACTACACATTTTAGTTCCAACCATCCAAAAATAAGTACTAATAAGTACAAGATGTCATCCTGGCATCACTATAAGCTCCCATTGCTCGAGTCCTTCCATAAAACCCTTCGATTGGAAGGGGCCAACTACTCCCACTCGCCCATCCCCTTCATCCACTGCTGCTGGCACCTGCAGAACCATTGCATAAATGTGAAATCAAGTGCATGTCTAATAAAAATATAGAAATAATATTCATAGTGTCCTCGATCCAATTACACAATGTAAAATTACTACACAGGAAAAAAATAATGGACGTGCTTACCTGCAGTACCATGGAAGTTGAACCCATCATCCCAACCAGGCAAATGCCTTTCTGTGATTCTTACATATTTTCAAGAACAAACATGCAAATCTTGCAAGTTTATATTGGAAATATGATGGTTCTGTTATTATTAACATGCACAGTACAGAAATTGATGCATAATTCGAAGCAACCAAAGCACAACAAACAAAGAAGAGAGAGAGAGAGATGTCACACCTGGAACGAGGCCTAAGAGGATCCATTGAAGATACATTATTACTTCGAAAGATTTATACACTGCAGTGATGTCGAACAAAACCTTCACACATTGGATTTCTAGGAGATTTTCCCACATTATGCATTATTTCACTTTTTGTTTGGGTTACAAAAATTTTGTAAACTGTGCAGTAATTTGAAATCGAAAATAAATACAAAATGAATTTTTATTTACAAGTTTCAAAATTCTACCTCCATGAAGCAAAGGTTACTACCTCCATGAAGCAAAGGTTTCACTAAAACTATACTTGTTATGTAACATCTTGAACGAAGAAACTATCTTATTTCTAATTAATGCAAATATATTTCCTCCATAAAATTGTGGATTTAGTTAAATCCTAATACAAATATAATTTCTAAAGATGAGCAAACTTTAGAAATCCAGTTTTAAAGCATCATATACTATATATTTAATTATTCTGCCCTCAAGCATACTGTTAGCAATACAATTTTATGCCGGAATAACACCTTGGCATAGGGAAATATCAGGTGTAAGAAATTTATATGTACCTGAGAGACTATGGAGTAGAATGGGCAGAAAAACACTAATTTATGGCAACTGTAATCTAGGTCATGTAAATCATATGTTTAGATTATATTTTCTCTTTCTATAATGAACTTGCAGTCCCTGTAAATCATTCTAGAGAAGTGCATTAAGGAGAAATCTCATCTACTCGGACATATGGAAACTAGGTACTGCAGTGAAAATAGTACTACACAGAATACAGAGGCTGAAACAAGAAGACGTAGAAAGAAAAAGACAACAAACTAGGTAGATGAGTATGTGAACAAAGAGCAGCATATATATATTTATTAATAACATTTGAGACATTACTTTTATTAAAGAAAAATAATAATAATTAAGTTGTACAACAGGGAAAAGGTTACACAACAGCTAGCAGGTAAGCCAACATAACAGAACAGTGTCACTTTCATAACATGGAACGGGGCACCTTCACATTTGACCTGCAACATGCAAAGTTCTTTCAAAATGATGGAAATTTAAACTAATCCATAGTAGTCATCAGACAAATCACTTGTGATTTACACTAAATAAGTGTTTCTAATATCTCAAAACTCTCTCAGCTGTTGGAAATCTCAATTGGATTCAATAGTGAATCCATGATGATCCCATCTTTAGGCCATTCAATTGATACTGTGGCACAAGCCTTGTTTAGTACCAAGACCAAGAAATTGAGAATTAGACCCTCTGCAAGATCATATTTTTTAGCTAAGGGCCAATGACAGGAAAGCTTTTTTTGGTATTCCCACCAATTAAAGTAAAAGAGGTCCAACGTCTCTCCAATCGGGAGAGAAGATAGAGTTTAGTTTGGGTCCTATGGGCGAGGACAAACTTTAATGATCCAGTTACTTCATTTTACACTTTAGTTTGGGCCAATGACCCTCTTTGCTTAATAGTAATGAGACACTGCATTAGCTTGGGATATGGATTTGGGATTGGTTCCCATTTCTCTCCTCCCAATTCTCTTTTTGTTCCCTATGTCAATAAATCATTAGTCCGGTCTTAAGTCTAATTTTCCTTGAAAGATAATGATCCATTGATAACCGGGTTGCTTCGACATACCTTTTATTTTTAATTTCCACCTCATTAGCTTACATTCCCAAACAATTAGTGATAAGCATAACTTAAAAAATTAACAAACTCACAGAAATTTTGCAAAAGTGCAAACCTAACCCATAAAAAAAACATACCTAAGGGGTAACATTTTCTGGAGGATTCAGAACTCCTAAAATGTTTGAAAGTGAATTATTCCGAAGATCACTGCAATTGTCAAGTACATGGAAGGGAAAATTAGCAAGACACAGCTTTCACATAGAGGCAGAGTAATATATAGGAAGTTCATTTATAAAATTAATGCTATTTCATTCCAAAAAAGTGACACTAGTTTTATGCTTCAAGCTCTTACAGTAAAAGTCTAGCCTTAGCACTGAAGGACACGTTCTGCCAAATACTAGCAGGGACAGGACCAGTCAAAAAATTATTCTCAAGTGACCTGTAATAAACAATCATTCAAATCTGTCATCAAGCATGCATGAGAAGAGTATTCCAAAATATAGTCCACTAGAATCCTTAATTTGAAAAAGGTTCCACCAAAAAGAAAATACTAATTTTTATCAATATTGATTAAGTTTAAACCGCACATATTTCCTACATAAGGATTACCATTACATTGATTTTGTAATAGGAAACGAAAAACCAAAGAAAAGAAGTATGAAGATCCTCACAGTTTCTGCAGAGAAGGGAGATTTGACAAACTTTCTGGAATGGATCCATTAAGTTGGTTATTTGACAGGTTGCTGCACAAGACATGTTGGTAATCATGAATATCCTATCATTAAAATTCTTACATCACAATTTGCCCAAGTTGACTATTGATATGAATCTAGAAATTTTGCGTGTGACTTTGATAATTCACTTAAAATAAGATGAAGCACCCAAAAAAAAAAACACTGGGCTAGGCTTTTCAATTTTGATCCACTCCATTTGGATTATGGGAGGAGAAAAGAAAAGTAATGGTTGTGGTTTCCCACCTTCTATTTTGGATGGAAAAGGAAAACAGAAACATTAACAGAAATTAATTGTAATATTATGGCTGATAATATTTTGTTCTATTGGTGTCATCAAAGCTGGAATATTGAATAGAGAAGGACCTAATGATACTTAGGGAAGGGACTTATAGTATACGCAACTCTGGAATGTTGGAGAACTCTGGTGGACCTAATGATCCCAATTTCCATTTCATATCAATTTTCTGATGTCATTTTGGAAATTAATGTTAAAAAAAAAATCCTCAAATTTGGGAAATTCAAAGAAATTTCATCAGAATTCCATGATTTGAACATGAAAGGTAGTTGATGTAGATGACTATAAGCCCCTCCCCAAAACACGCGCGCGCACACACAAACACACACACACAGAGGGAGGGTATGTGACACAAGTCTTTGGGAGAAGCAGCATACAATCATGAAGGTAGTTTTCACATTCAACATCAAAGTTGATAACTGATTACCCATAAAGATGAATTATGCCTAACGTGCACAAAATATAAAATGTAATATTTAGGCCTCATAGGGTAATTTTAAGGTGTCTAAAAATAGAACAAGGTTGTGATAGACCAGTGTTTTTAAAGGCTCAAGGCGCACTAAGGCGCCGAAGGTCTCTTGGAGCCTAGGCGCAAGGCGCAAGGCGAGGCGCGGGCTTTATTGAAGTAAGGCGCACAGTATTCGTAAAAAATAGAAAAATTAATATAGACTAATCATTCATAGTACTAAGACAATTTTTTAAAAAATAAAAAGTAATCAAGATTCAAGACAAAATATAGAATAATTCTCAAAGCCATGAAAGTGCATATTACATAACATTTCAATTTTCAAAGATAAAATAATCCACATTCAATAAAATAAAAACATAAACACTAAACATCCAAAACATAAATATCCAACAAATATTAATATATGTCTTAACTTAACACTTAAAAACATCAATATCAAAAGAAAGGGTAGGTTAGGTCGGTGTCAGTCAATCATCATCCTCAACATCAATGGCAAGCAAACTATCATCTTCTTCTCCATCAGTTGATTTGTATCCCTCAACATCTTCCTCCTCTGTGTCATCTGAGCCCGCTTCCTCTTCATCTATTAATTGAAGTTTACACCAAGGATCTACCTTAAGTCCTTATCTTTTTGCTTTAGTTATGAATGAGTTG